TATTAATTTTATTATTAATTTTATTATTAATTTTATTATTAATTTTATTATTAATTTTATTATTAATTTTATTATTATTTTTAATTTAATTTTATTATAAATCCTATTATTAATGATTAATATTGAATATCAACATTTTAGACATGGGAGTCTTATAATTGATCCTTTAGTCAAATTATTTGACATTAGGGTAATGCGCCCTCTTGCACCCATTTCTTTCTATTCTGGTCCCTCTTTTATCAGAATGCATCCCAAACTTTCAACTACTGTTTTCGTCGTGTCTCGATCTGGTCAATTTCATGTTTGTGACGTAGGAAATACATCTGACATTCATTTTTATCAGGTATTTCTCTTATCTTATTAACAATCATGTAAATTATTCTTGTAATTTTATTCATTTTTTCAATTTAAAGGCAAATACCGCTAGTTATATAAATGCCATTGACCTTTCAACATCCGGTGAAATGCTTGCGTTTGGTGATGGTGCTAGTATTATACATCTTTGGGGTGATAGAAAAAGTTCAAAAATTAATGCTTACTCCAATAATATCGAGTTACCCGCTGTTGCTCCTCCAACTCCAAATATATTTGTTGGTGAAAATGAGTATGTTTATTATTTATTCATTTATTTATTTATTTATATAGTAGTTTTTTAAATAAATATTTATATAGATAGATAGATTTATTTATTTATTTATTATTATTTGTATTTTAAACTTGAACATAATAACTTTCAGTCCCTTATCATTAATTGGGATGCCTTATTACCGAGAACCATTGCTTTCTGTGTGGCCATCTAATATGATGTTTGAAGTTGGAAACCCGCCTCCAAAAATTGATCCTGATATCATAAATAATATGAAAATGATTGATTTTGTTGGATATGCTCCAAATCCAGGTAATAAAAAACGAAATCAAGTTGTTAGATGGTCAAGAAAAAAGCATAAAGCCGGAACTCCCAAATTTCATTCTGAAAAGGAAAGAGAATTACAATCTGGGAAAGAGTCCAAGGTAATCTATTGATAACTATTATAATGCATTTATAACAATATTGAATGGCGTTTCTTTTACAGGAGCCGGTTAATTTATTTGATGATGAAGCTGAGTTAGGTGCGATTGGCACTAGAATGCCAAAATATTATAAACGGGTGGAAATTAAATATAGTAGATTTGGCATTGATGACTTTGATTTTGAGTGAGCTCTTTAAATATTTTTCATAAATTATAAAGATTTATTAGTTGTTTATTTGTTAAAATATAAATTTTGTTTGCTTTCTGACAGGTTTTACAATAAAACTCGTTATGCAGGATTAGAGACACATATAACAAATTCATATTGCAATTCATTATTGCAAGTTTTATTTTTCACCCCAGCTCTTTGTTTAATAACTAAATCTCATATTGGCTCCTCTTGTTCAAAAGAAAATTGTCTTTGTTGTGAACTTGGGTTTTTGTTTCGTATGTTGGAAGATGCTGTAGGAAGAAATTGTCAAGCTTCTAATTTTTTGAAAGCTTTCAGTACAATCCCACAAGGTAAGTTGATCTCGCAATAAAATGATTCATGTAAAATCATCTTATTTATATGATTTCGATGTTCAGCGGTAGCTCTCGATCTATTTGAACCGGATAAGCCCGACGAAAAGTTTTCTTATTCAGTGCTTATTCAGAATTTTAACCGCTTCATCCTTGAACAACTTCATCAGGAATGTAATTCTGATAATAATCCTCGATTATTAAAATCTTTGCCTTTGGATAAAACTTCTCTTTCGATGATACAACAATTACTCGGAATGCAAATGATTTCGGTTAATAAATGTCAATGCGGGACGGAAACTGAACGCAATATCACTTCATTTGTTATTGATTTAAATTATTCTTCAAAAGTAAGATTGATAATCTCATTTATTGTTATTTTATTGTTATTTTCATTGAACACACCTTCCAATCTTGTTTAATAATATTCAGAACTCAAAGGATAAACACACTACATCAAGATCTTTTGTAGACATTTTACGGTCAAGTATTAGACGCGAAACCCAGCCGAAAGCATGGTGTGATAATTGTCAACAATATACTCCTATGATTGCTAAAAAGATACCAAAGAGTCTACCTCCTGTTTTGACTATTAATTGCGGTTTTGGAACATCAGTTCCACTGGATTATTGGAGATCCCTTGATAGGAACAAACCTTGGGTGCAAAAAAGGTATTTTTCTTTTCAAAATATTAATTTTAGGATTAATTGAATGTGTATTTTATCTAACTTTATGATAGGATTTATATGAGGCTAGAACAGGATGATTTAATCGTAAAAGAACTAGCATCAGATGCTGTTGTTGATACTAGTTATACAGGCAATTTTAATAGTGCAAATTATGAAATAATGGTTAGTAATTAACATATGTATATGTGCTAAATTTTTTTTTTTATATGAGTTATAATATATATACTAACAATTTAAATATTTATTTTTCAAAGGCCATTATTGCTCAAATTAGGATTGATAAAGAAACACCACATTTGATAGTTTTTATAAAAGGTTGTATATCTATTTATTTAATATTTTCAATAATTATATTGATCTTCATTTATTTTTCAAATGAATTAACAATCTAGTTTATTAGTTCCCGACAACCAACTAGAGCCAGGAAGTAAAGGCCCTTGGTATTTGTTTAATGACTTTTTAGTAAGAAATGTGACAGAGCAAGAAGTATTTAATTTTCAAGGATTATGGAAAGTGAGTGAAAATATTTGATAAAACTATATACATTTGTTTTTAATACTTTATTAGAATCTTTATATATTATATGTATGCTACATCTTTTAGACACCAGTAGTTTTATACTATTCAAGAATTGATATTAATGATTTGATAGATATAAGTGTCTTACCTTCTGAAATTGATAAATCTATACTATTTAAAGATATTTCTATATCAAAGTAAGTGGTTTAAATTTTTTTTTTTTTTTTTTTTGAAATGAAAATGGTAAGTCATATTTAGTCTGATTTGATTGTTTATTAGGCATCGATTAACAAATAAAAAAACAGCACATTTACTAACCCCGGAGGAATTGCCACAGCCTGGAACATTAGTCGCAATTGACGCTGAATTTGTTGTTTTAAACCAGGTACGTTTTCAGTCAGATCATTTATTCAAAATTTCATCACAGTATTTATCATAATTCGTTTTTTTACTTAGGAGGAAACAGAAATTAGAAGTGATGGAACAAAATCTGTTATTAGACCAAGTCGTCTAAGTTTGGCTCGTGTTAGCGTTTTACGTGGTGAGGGACCAAAAGAAAGTATACCATTTATTGACGATTATATAGCAACATCAGAACCCGTTGTTGATTACTTAACTGAATTTTCTGGGATTGAAGGTCTTCTTTGTTATTAAAATAATTTAAAATTTTATGAATTGTTTGTAAATCTGGGCATATTTTAACATATGCTTTCATATTATCATTATCGATATTTAGCCGGTGATCTGGATATTTCAAACTCTAAACATACATTAGTTCCTCTCAAGGTACTACTTTAATATTATATTTTGAGCTCGTGATCATACTTTCCGCCAAATTGCAGACTGTTATAGTTTGGGTTTGTCTATGCTGTATATATCAACTTTAATAGTTAATATCACTATCAACATGAATTTAAACTAATTCAAATGGGTTGATATAAACGAGGGTAGAACGCAAATTCCAAACTGATCAAACTAATATCTCAAAAACTTTGTCAATAGTCATATTTAAACAAATTGTATATATTCTCATAATTGTATATGATAAATGTAAGAATATTTCTTGATTTTAATTTTTTTATAAATGACAATTGTTTTTTGGGATTTTGGATTTGTTCTGGTTTTGTCGGCAAGTATACTTATAATTTAGTTCTAAACAATTTATTCATACTAACTAGGTTGCTTATAAAAAATTACGATTACTTCTTGATCTTGGTTGTGTCTTTGTTGGTCACGGATTAAAAAAAGATTTTCGCATAATAAGTAAGTATTATTTTTAAAATTATAGTTTTATTCGTAGTTTATATACTTATTAATTCATATTTTAATTATAAAAGATATATTAGTTCCTCCAGAGCAAGTAATTGACACAGTTGATTTATTTCATTCAAAGAATCGAGCAAGGTATTATTATTTGAATTCCAAAATAATTTGAATAATTTGACACAAATGTTTTATTTCATTGATTATTATGATCATCTAGAAAAATATCGCTTCGATTTTTAGCTTGGTATTTATTACGACAAGATATACAAACAGAGACACATGATAGTATTGAAGATGCTCGAACAGTAAGTCTTTTTTTTTTTTTTAAATCATATAACTTAGATTTTATAACCTTTTTAAAAACTTTACCACATTTTATACAAAGGCATTAGCAATCTATAAAAAATATTTACAATTTAAATCTGAAGGTATATTTGAAGAAGTGTTAGAAGATATTTATAACGAAGGTAAAAAGTGTAATTGGAAACCTATCCCTGGAGCATTTCCCACTATCTCTTATTAATATAGTATAGAAAACAAAAAAGTTGTACAATTTTTTAATTCTTTTACAAGTTACTATTTTAATGAATTTTAAATTTGTAATCTAATGCCTTTTATCGTAAAGTCCTGATTTTTTTTTTTGATAATTTTCAAAACGCAATGTTTATTCTTATTTTGAACATTCCTGCTTAGATAGATTATTAAAATTGAGCAATTCACACATTAATTATTCTTTTTCGTAATAAAAGATAATTCAACAAATAATTCATAGTTTAGAATCGAAATTATTTGTTTTTATTGAAATTACAGAATACGTACGTAATTAAGTTACGCATCTAATTATTGAGATTGGTAAAATTCGTTGGGACGATTCTAGCGATTACAGTCGATAAAATCGACTTAGTCGACGAAAAATATATTATGAATACTGGAGAAATTCGGATGTATATATGCAACGAATAAGCGACTCGTCAGCTCAGTCGAGTAAGCAAAAAAGAAGATAGCCAATCAGAAGGCGTAAATTTGTTTATCCCGGATCAGCATATGGGCGGATTTGACTCCATTCAATATTGTCACAAAATTCGATTTTGTCACATACGATGATCAAAACATATTATTAACCAATCAAATCGATTAAAAAATTTAATTGTGATATTTCAAAATTTGATTAATACTATAATATATACCCAAATACGTTGTTAGCAATAACAATCATTAGAGTCTTTAAGTGCGGTTTTAAAACATCAGCATTTGTACAATCTGCATCTTATTCTAAACCAAGACAACAGGTAATATCTAGAATACCTAAGTCTCCACTATCTTTTCTAGTTCTCCAATTAATTATTAAGCAAGAGTATTAGACTCACGATGGCTAGTAAATGCCAACTTTGTCAAGAGATTTTTTCTTCTCGAAAAGATCTTGTTAGTCATGAAAGGATTAAGCACCGAAATAATAAAATTATACCTCACCGCAAAACACTTCTTCAACCTCTTCTTGAACAAGTCGCATTTTATCAAAATGCGTTTATAGTTCTTATTAAAAAACGTCTTGGTTTTAATAGGCATTCAGTAGGCACAAAACAAGTTTCTATAAACGCTTTTCCTGAAAATATATTTGTTTATCTTTTTGAACATGAGCCTTCTTTCCGGTATAGTCCTGTGCAACGAAAATATTCGTGTTCTTTTCAGGGTGAAGCTGGAGAACAAAGATTGAAACAATTAGTTAATTATGATCATTGGAACGTTAGACAAGATTCAAAACTAAGAACTATAGGATACGTTTTATTTATGGACAATGAAGGGTCTTACGGAGTTAGCTTTAGTTGGTCTCAATCTGAATTTAAAGAGAACGAACGCGTTTTTCACTGCGGCACTACAACTTGTAAATTTATAGCAGATTCTGGAGAATTTTCTGAACAGTATGAGTTAATATGGGAGCTTGTTAACAAAATGATCCTTCAAAACTATAGTTTTATAGTTCTAAAGGATCGTTTTGTTAGTTATCATTATTATTATTACGTATTATTTTTATTAATCATTTATTTAATTAGACCCACCACACCAAATCTACCACAAGTCCACAAGATGGATCCAAACGTAAATTCTTCAAATGGCAAATCGACCCAAAAAAATTATAGATTTATTTTACCTCGAGTGCCCTTTCAACAATTAAATAGATAATTTTTTTTTTTAGTTTACCTCTTGGACGTAGTATAAAAGGGACGACTACGACTATTATGCGCGGGGAAGGGGCGCATAATGATCAGTTATCCGATATCATTTATTAATAATATTTTTTGTTTTTTATATCTTTAGAGATATAGCATATAAGCGATATACTCTGGTAGATTTATATCAATGAGAAGTATTACAATAATTAAATAGTGCTAAGGCTTTAATTGGTGCTATAAAAAATAAAAGTCGATCTTTATGCTCAAACTGGTAATGGTGAATATTGGAGTTGCTACATCAACTTCCACACCTTTGTAGTACGTGATCGTAGTCCTGGCCATTATGCTGATAAATAATCCAATTTGAAGTTTCTTCTTGATGAATATATATCACTTACGCTTATTAAATGGGAAAGTGATTAATTATTACTTTAGGTAATTCTTTTTATATT